GATTTCCAAAAACAACCATAGTAATTTTTTGATGCAATGGCTGAGCGTTGGAGGATCGTTATTGTTCTGGCCTTCTTTGTTTGAACAGCACAGTGGAATTCAGAGTACGTGTTGGAAGCTTGCACAAGATCCTACTGAAGCTTTTTTCTATGATGAAAGAAGAGTCTCCTTCGAGTTTACTCCTCCCGTCGAGCTCGTCAAGCTTCAGAACACAAAAATCACAGGTACTAAACTAAACACTAGCTAACGTTAGCACGACTGCATTTCCTTACAAATGTCCTGCCTATGCAAATTTTCGAGAAGTTGATGCATTGCACGAGCAAGTCGTACAAACAACAAAAACAAGAAATTGCGAAAGTCAGGTTTACATGAGCCCACTACCCAAACGGAAATTTATAGATTATTACGGGTATTTTTCTGCTACATGAACAGCTTCAATTTCTCTGTATTAAAAGAATTAACCTACAAGGTGTTTACGAAATCAGCTCGGAAATGGAAGAAGCATTACAAATTGTAAATGCAATTGATGTTCATTAAGTACAGTCCAAGCTCTCCTTGTATAAACTGTGAATTAAAACTTTGTAATGAAAAGCTCTCGTAAGCCACCGCTCCCATGAGCGAGCGCGACCTCGTTTGGGATTACCCAACTGCATCTCCCAGATCAGTATTTAAAGTATATAAGTGTTTTTATAGTTTATTTGAAAAGATCTCTTCACTTCATCGAAAGTAAGGGTAATGAAAATGTCAGTCATTTCATATATTTCCATTCAAGTGAGAGTAACGATAAATTCAAAGTTGACAGAGGAGAAAATGTATCAAAATTAAATATTCCCGTATAGTTGTTAATATTTACGTTTCTGTGTTCACAGCCACCAGTTTTATCAAACCTGAATGTCTTCAACTGATAGTAGATAGTTTAGGTTCGATATTTTGACCACTCTTTAGCAAAAGTCACAGATGTCACGCTACTGGTTTTTGAAACATCGCTCGTTGAGGAATTACTTTGAATGTTTCGGCCTTTTATATCAGTTTGATTGTAATGATCATGAGTGTCTGTCATCTTGCGTGTGTGTACTTCAGTGTCGTGGTTTTGCTACAGGCATATTTTGCAGGTCAGAACTAATAATAATAACCTTTATTTTAAGAGGGTGACACCAACTGCTATGAAATATTCTCCCTAGTGGCCCTCTAAAAACAAAATTGTTGATAATAAATTACAACAGTCATGATAAAAAGCCTATTTACAAATAGTAATCTTAAGAATTCCAGTGTTCTCCCTCCCTAGTGGCCCTCTGAAAACAAAATTGATAACAATAAAATTACATTAATCATGATAAAAAGCCTATTTACAAATAGTGATTATAATAGAAGGTTCTTAAAAATTCTTAAGATTTAAAAAAATTGAGAGATGTTAGAAACGGAAGTGAATACATATAAATAAACCGGAAGTAAATATATATAAATAAACAGCATCAGAAGTGTCTCCTTGCCCTAAACCCTATCCAAAATAATGTTTGTGATCGAGGGGAAACTATTTGATTTAGTTACCTATGAATAAAACAGTGACCTGCAGAATGTAACCTGTCCAAGAAACCTCTCCTTGCTTTTGTCGTTCGGTGTCAGTTCAGGAAGTCGAACCGCTGATCACGAGAACAAAGATTAAAACGAGCAAGTTTCAGATTTCTGGATCATTTGAAGTGTTATAGTTTGTTCACTTTATCGGTAATAACAGGAACGCTTAAAATTCATGACGGACTAAAAAGTTCGAATTCAAATATCCCTATACTCGCTGGTCCGAATTTCAGCCGTCTTCTAGAGTCGTAAACTTCATAACCTGCGATTATAGTTTCCCCTTTCAGTTCCCGAGAAAAAAAAAACGCCTGATCGCAGTTTACAAACTTCAGAGCCGACGAAGTGTCCGGCTCTCGGGAGTTTTGCTACTCGAGGAGACAGCTGAATTTCAGGCTATAAATTAAACTTGGTGAAATTTGTGTTTCTTTATTTACAACCCATTGGTTTCACTAAGCCTGAATATTTTAAAGCTGTCGTTATAAAAGAGCTTTTCTAATTTCTACACCTTTTGTGCTTCATTTATACCAAGAAATAAGTTTTATATTAGCGTCAAAAATTAATGAAATGACGTCTACTCATTGCAGACTGAAAATTAGCTGACATTTTAATTTTCATGTGGTCATTAAAGACTTTACATAGAGAGGGGCATTCAATAAGGCTAATAAATTTTCGACTTAACGGAAATGGCAATCATTCGAGAGAATAAAGCAACATTTGCAACATATTAATCAGCTGAATAAATCTTCGTTGACGTTAATAAATATAATTTTATGAACATTATCAACAAAGGTAGTTAGCGTTAGACAAAAAGTTCATGTTCCATATACGTTCGCTTTCTTTGAAATTGTGACAAATGGAAACAATTTCTTGATGTTATCATGTTTTTTATTTCACCTCTCTTGTCATTTGAAAAGGTGCTATCTGTCAAAGCATTTTTTTCCCTGAAGCGCTCGTAATCTTAAGCAAACGGAGGGCTCTCGGGAAAGAAAAGTCTGTGATAAATTTCTGTTTCCGATACTTGACTCAAGCATAAAAATCGAGTTTCTTTGTTCAAAATATTCGTGCCCATGCTTCATGCTGGTTGAGTTTAGGTTGCGTTCTCCTGACGTCGAACGCATTTATATCGCTCGGTATTCCCCATTTTCACATTATAGACAACACCGCACCTTGTTTACCCCCTACACCCCCCCCACCCCCCCCCCCATCCCCCCCCCCCCCCCCCCCCCCAAAAAAAGGCATAACCATTGTCTTCGATTTCTCTTGGGGCGACTTGTAACACCCAGAAGAAACTGGAAACAATGGTTTTGCAAATTTCTTTTTTTTTGGGGGGGGGAGTGGGGAAAGAAACAAGGTGCATTATGGTCAATGTGAAATTGGCGAATTGCCCGCAAGAATAGATATTATGACTGTAAACATGACAAAGAGATATCCTAAATCTGTTATATATTACTGATGTGATTCTAGATCTCAACTCACAACCACAAGTTTCTTGCCGAGACAATTGAACAACATGACGAATGAGCTCACGTTTTGCTCCAATTTGGCTATAATCATAAAACAGGCAAGTTGCTTTAGGACCCTCTCAAATTTAGCGTTGCATTTTTAATTTGTCTTGAAAATAACACGTTATTCAATACTCCAGGTTCTAAAGGAACAACGATACTTTTCTTTCCCCTCCCTCACTTAGGAAATAGAAAGTTAACACGAGAAAAACCATACAGTGAAACTATTAAACAATTCGTTTTGATAAAATATGTGTTCCATTACCTGTGACGTGCTTATGTATGTTTAGAATATCACGTCACTGAGGAAGTCTTCAGACTTTCAAAATTCCGATCAGAATTTTTACTTTCAATTCAACTACCTAACAACAGAGAAAAATAACTAACAAATGATTTTATAGTCACGCCTGAATGTCATGTTGTTTGCTCATTTTTCCTTTAAAAAATATAGGAATCACTTTCCAGTACAGTTTAAACACCTGCTCCCTTGGAATGTTATTATAAAAATAATACCATTATCATAATGCTGATGGAAACTCACAGAAACTGTTGCCCTGTAATTAGTAATTAGTAATTAGTTAATCGGCGTTGTTGTTAAGAGAAGAGAGAGAAAAATAATAGCGTAAATTATAAAGGAAATTCGTGTCCGGATCCACAGTCTTATAAACGACAAGACGGCAATGAAGACCCACTGACTTTAAAATCAACACATTAACAACACGTTTGTGGGTCACACGTTCCTGGTATCTTAGACGTAGGTAAACATCCAGTAATCTATCCAAGAGTTTTAGTTTGTTGGTCCATTTCCTTGCAAGAGTCGCAATGTTCGAAGGCTGCACCATCAAACCAACACCCAGGTCAGAAACAGTCAGGCTTAAGAGCAGCGTTTTAAAAGGTCTTGGTAGCGATGAGAGTTTTTTTAAGGCATAAATCGTTAAACAGTTTAGCAAATCAGCAGTGTAAGATAAGAAAGCGTTCAAAACGCAAGTAGTGTTTGTATGATGAGGTGATGTCTTCAAGACATTCTCCATCATTGCAAACGTTAAAGGACATTGCATTTGCAGAAGATATTCCGGTGTGTTTTTTGAGGAGTTTGCTGACTATCTGGAGGTCCATTATTCTTTCTTCGGAGTCATTGCTGGTAACCGGTGACTTCAATATCCATGTCGATGTTGTTCGGGATCCTTATCGTGCGAAATTTCGTGAGCTAATCGAAACACTGGGTCTGCAACAGCACGTTATTAAGCGTACTCATGAGTCTGGGCATACATTGATCATCTCGCGGCAATGTGAAAACCTGGTCAAGAAAACGCCTGTATCTGACTATCACATACCCGATCACTGGACTGTTCCTTGCTTGTTAAACCTCGGCAAGCCAAGTGTAACTAGGAAGACAGTGACATTAAAGAAAACTAACGGCGTTGACCTGGCAGCTCTGTCTAATGAACTTTTTTCCTCGGAATTATCCAAGAATCCTCCAGACACGCTTAGCGTGCTTGTTGATCGCTACAATGCTGCACTTTTGTCTGCTCTTGACGGTCATGCTCCACTCGTAACCAGGACTTTCCCATCTCGGCCTCTGGTGCCATAGTTCAATGATGATATAAAGGTGACGAGCAGACAAAGGCGTAAGGCGGAGAGGAGATAACGCCGCACAGGTCTGGCGGCCGATTTACGAGCGTTCAAGGATCTCAGAAACCAATCAAACAACCTGTTGAATGTTGCACGGAAGGTGTTTTACAAAGACTTCATTGATGAGAGCAGTGGCGACCGGAAGAAACTTTTCTCGGTAACGAATAGACTGCTTGGCGTGGAGCGAGATACTCAATATCCTCCGATTAAGGACAAGGTTGTACTTAATAAAATAATAAGTTTGGTGATTTTTTCCCTCAGAAGATTGTGGTCATACAAAATGAGCTTGATAATATGGCTACGACAGTGTCGCCTGGCAGTGAGAAGTGTTTAGCGGACTCACCTGTTGTGCAACCTATGGATAGTTTCAGAGAATTGAATGAGTCGGAAGTCCAAAAGCTCATTGAAGCCACGCCTAAGAAATTCTGCTGGCTTGACCCAATGCCTACGCTCCTTGTTGTCGGCTACATTGATATTCTGTTGCCTGTTATCATCAAGGTCATTAATCTCTCTCTACAGACGGGCTCATTTGCTGAACAATGGAAGTGTGCGTTAGTTCATCCTTTGCTGAAGAAGCTTGGACTTGACTTGGTTTTCAGAGTTTGTAGACCAGTCAGCAATCTGCAGTACATCTCTAAGCTCACCGTAAAGGCTGTATTTAGTCAAACGCACGAGCACAGGGTCGTCAATGAAATCTATCCTGATCTGCAATCGTCTTCTCTTTAACATCACAGCACTGAAAAGGCCTTACTCAAAGTTATGAACGACGTCCTCTTAAAAATGAACTCGCAGCATGTGACCCTGATGGTCCTGTTGGATCTTAGCGCAGCATTCAACACAGTTGCTCACAATATCTTGTTGAAGCGACTGCACAGATTTGGTCATCAGTAGCTGGTTATGGTGAATTATGCGTGTGATTTTAGCCAATGTTCTGGCAATGTTCAAAGTGTCTGAGATGACCGACTTCTGCATTCACTCAAGTACGCCCCGTGCTCTCGCTCCTAGTAGCTTCCTCGCCGACTTCTCTAGCTGTTTAGAGTAACCACGTGCACCCAGTACGTCAGTTATTACATTGTGCTGTTCAACTCTGTAACCATTGTATCTGCTTCAGCCCCCACATCGTGGGCCCATACTTAAGTGTCTTTTCCTCATCTTTCTTGGCTCTACTCTTAATCCATGGGCAGCTCATTTCAAGTGTGCAGACTTCTTTCCTCTCGTGGCTGACAAGTCGCGCGTCAATCCGTAGCCCAACCTTTTAACCATGCAAAGCAGCTGGTTATGCGTAGGCTCTCATCTTCCCATCCCATACGGAATAACTTTCCTTGCCACTATTTGCACTTTTTGTATTATTATTATTATTATTGTTGTTGTTATTGTTGTTGTTGTTGTTGTTGTTGTCTATGATGAAACTTATTTTTGGGTTTACTTGTCCTCCGACTATCAATTTCAAGTTTATTACAAAGTGCGACAAGTGTTATTACAAAGTGCGACAGAACAAACCTTAGCTTGGAAAGACCTTTATATTTTATTAAAACATTATGATATTGAATATCTATAACACCCTTAAGACTTCTTATTCAAATAATTGACAGTTATAATTAAAGCGGTATATTACCGATAAGTTTTTAACCAAGCTCAAGGTAATGGCTTACTGTTGGCCAATCAGAACACAGAATTTGCTGAATCCTACTCTCTCCTAGGGACAGCTATGAGTGTGGTCCTACAATTTCGGACCATACGAAACAGCACTGTCGCAATAAACGATCAATGATTACTCCTGATGAAGCCTGAACTCCTGTGATTATTTATTATATATATATATATATATAACAATTATTCACCGAAGTGGAGGTGGCTAGTCCTGGATATTTACCGAACTGCGAAGCAGTGAGGTAAATATCCACGACTAGCCACCGACACTGAGGTGAATAATTGTTTTAGTATATACTAACACAGTGAGATAATTGAGCACAAAAATGACGATTTTTAACTCAAATACTGCTGCCAACGATTACAATTTTGGCGCGTAATGACCGGGCGGCCGTGGCCGTCGCTTTTTCTTGCCGACAATTAAAACTTTTGAAGGCATTTGTTTAGCTCTTGCGGGGAAATTTCTTCAAAAGGAGTTGTGAATTCTTTTTGTATTTAAAATCCTTCTGTAAAAAAAGATTATGAACAACTCAACTAAATAAAGTAAGCAAGACTTAAACTTAATTTGCATTTGTAAACAAAAAACTTTTTCACCGGTGTTATCGATAAATTCATGTCAAAAAGACAAAGCTTTACCTGTTAAAACTTCCAATCCGATCTTCGTCACCTTCTTCGTGTATTTCAGAAACAGCTTGCTTGATTAGTTGTGAAATTTCTTTGTTTGTTTAACCGGGAAGGCATTTTGCTCGCAACTTACGCGAGTTTGGCGTCGCTCGCTCGGAGGAACTGGAGGTGAATCAGTGAATAGTGCAGGATATTCACTGATTGAGTAGCCAATCAGAGCGCGCGAAAAACACTATCCACTGTTTTAGTATATACTAAATATATATATATATATATATATATATATATATATATTCAATATGTTTACCCTGACAGAAAAGCAATGAAGACGGGAAGTAGTTTCAGTTCAAGTCAAAGCGTTCTTCAACGCTTAATGTTTTGAAAAGCTTCCCCGTTCACATGTACAACCCGGCGACCACGAAACTTTTCCTTTGAGGCAGCGTACTTAAACATTTGCAATGATGGAAAATGAAGGCATCACTTCATCATACATCACCACTTGCGTTTTGAACGCTTTCTTATCTTACACCGCTGTTACACTGAACTGTTTGACGATCTACGCCTTAACAAAACTCTCATCACTACCGAGACCTTTAAAAACGCTGCTCTTAAGTCTGGCTGTTTCTGATCTGGGTGTTGGTTTGATGGTGCAGCCTCCGTACATTGCGTCTCTTGTCATGGAAATGAAACACAAAACTGAAAACAATCCAGCCTATAACATAACCTACAAACTCTATGTTTTCACGGTGAATTTGTTTGGTTATGCGTCTTTCTTCGGAGTAACATTTTTAAGTTTGGATAGATTTCTGGCTGTTTACCTACATCTAAGATACCAGGAACTTGTGACCCACAAGCGTGTTGTTGTTGTCATGGTTTCAAAGTGGGTTTTCAGTGCAGTTTTGTTGTTTCTGAGACTGTGGATCCGAACACGAGTTTCCTTTATAATTTACGCTATTATTTTTGTTTCTCTTCTCTTAACAACAACGCCGATTAATTACAAGATTTATTTATCAGTACGTCATCACACGAACCAAATTCAAGCCTTGCAAGTTCAACCAACGGCTAATCAGAGCGGTGAAGCTGGAACGAGAAACACCGCAGGCTGGAGAAAATTTGCATTCGGAACGTTATTAGTATATCTTGCGTTTTTGGTTTGTTATTTGCCAAATTTCTGCTTTTTAATTGTCTATCTTATCTCTGGTCCATCGAGCTCCACTACCGTTGTTTTGGATCTGTTCAGTTCGACTCTGTTATTTCTTAATTCAACGTTAAATCCTCTGATTTACTGCTGGAAAATGAGAAGAATTCGATTAACCATCTTGACAATATTAAGGACCATATTTCAGCGCTGACAACCGATTATCGTAGACAAAAAATAAAGCCTGAAATTATAAAATTTCATCATGCATTCTCACTCTCTCTTTTCCGTTTTGTATTAGTTAACGGTGTCTACAAAGAGCGCTCTTAGTCTGAAAAAACCAGACATCAATAAAACTTTAGCGAGTTTTTAGAGCCGTGCAGAAGGTAACTGTTTTCTTGAAAGGCCACGAAGGGCTGCTAATCTTAAGATAAAAGCCCACTGAAACATTCATACAAATTAATATTCAGATTAATATCCTCACATACAGCACTTTCCGGAACAGTGAAAATTACCACAACAAAATTTAATTGTATTGATTAAAAACTCTCTGAGACGTCATGAGATACTGATCTTCAAAGTTTTTGTTTATGAGTGACTGATAATTTTTTTTTTCAGTCAGTTTTGTTTAGTTTTTCTGTATTAAGCAAATATAATGGATAACTATAATTACAGGGCAACAGTTTCTGTGACTTTACAACAGCATTATGATATGCGAATATTTTTAATACACCAAAGGTGGCAGGTGTTTTTTTTTCTAATATGGGAAAGAGTTAATGTTATGTTACAAATATATTTTTTCTTGCGGGCAATCCTGAGCGGAATCATTGCGTTCGACGTCAGGAGAACGCAACCTAAACTTAACCCGGGTGAGGCCTGAGAGCGGTTAGCCTTGCATAGATACAGAGGTTTGAGACAACTCGGAAATGGACTAGCCATAGGGGAGGGGGGGATTAAGCGCTTTCCTAACAATCCCCCTCCCAACCCCTTCCCCTTTTTCACCTTTCACGCTGGTTATCAAAAAATTAATTAAAAACATAGCCAAATTGCTTCTTTATTGTTTTAATTAATGCTAGCTGTGACTCCAGGCAAAGACTCGGCTCAAAATAATATTTAGGAACGCTTAGGTTTCTTGACTTTAGCTTATCCTTCTTTTCTGTGCAGGGAAAAATCAAGTTCATTGCTGCTTTGTCATAGATCTTGTACCTGAGCGGCAGTTTGTTTCAGTTTTGTAGTCGTGGTTTTGTTTAAGAACTGATTACGAGACTAAGTTTGTAAAAAAAACGATAAGTTTTAGATTCCTTGATCACTTGAAGTATAGATAAGTCGGTTTTTATTATTTGTGTGGTATATCTTCTTCACTTTATCTGCAATAAAAGTGACGTTTAAAATTCACGACAGACCCGAAAAAGCCGTCTCCTCGAGTTACAAAAGGGACCTTACGATCCGACAACGGCGACACCAATGAAAACATCGCTGAAAAATAGACTTCGCGTCGTTTGAAAGTTTTTCGCCCTTATGCCAAGTCACCCAGTTACTTGAAAGTAGGGAAGTTAGGTTGGAACTGAAGAGAGGGGATCGTGTCCAAGGTCAGAGAGAGAAAGTAAACTTTATCGCCTTGCTGTTCCCGTTCTCAAGTCAACTCAAAATTTGGTCATTTCACGTCGTAGTTGTGCAGGGACGGCAAAGAAATGTACAAATTAAAAGCTTGATGCACGTGCAGAGGTGTTGTTTTGCTCAAATAAACCTATAGAGTTTTAGACGTTCCCGTTGCCGTCGCTGTCGTAGTTTCGTAAGGTCCTTAAACTCCGTTGAAAGACGACGTATCTCTCTGGAGTTTGCGACTCGAAGAGACGACTGAATTTTATGCTTTAAACTTGCTACTATTTGGCTTTCTTTATTCACAGTCCACCATTTCAATTAAGTCTGAATTTCTTTAAGCCGTCGTTACAAGAGAGTTTTTGCAATTACTTATTGGTGCAAAGCCAAGTTTTAATCTTACGTTTTGCTTATTAAACTGCAATTATTTTTGGGTTCCACTTTGTTAATCGTCATCCTCGATTACCAGCGGCTGTTAATTTTGGGAAATATGCCGTTCGAAGATGGAAATCGACTCTATTATGGACACTAATTGATTCGGTCCTGTTTCATGTCATTTATCTTGTTTCATGTCAGCAGCAATGGTAATGGATTGAGTGAACGGATTAAAGCCAGCAATTTCTTCGAATTCTTTGACCAATTTTAAACAACCTTTTAATAATGCAACATCACTCTCACAATATTTCAGCAGCTCTTCCTGGAAGTTAAAGATGAT